TATTTTAACCATTTTCTAAATTCTTTTTTATATTTTTATATTTTTTGTTTTTCCTGAAGCGCCTTGTGATTTTTATCTTGAGAGGCGCTATAGGAATGATATTTTCTTCTTCTTCTAAAGTTACTCAGAGCCACAGTAGAAGGTCCAGCCTGAGTTAAGCTGTGGTAACTGGAGATGAACAGAGAAACGGCATTAAAGCTTTTGCTGTTTGCTTGTTCAAGTTTAATTCAAATAGAATATATAAGACATCAATCATATAATGCTTTTATTTATATTTAACAGTCATGTTAGAGATAAAATGCAGAATAGTTTATTTTAAAACCATTTTTACATTTTCTTGTTGCATTGAAGCATCACGTCCCACCGTGAGTGGCCTCTGTCCCACTTTTGGTGAGTTGGGATCTGGTCATCCTACTGAAAAACGATTACAGTAATTTGGAATATTTTCAGATGTTTATATGTTTGGTGTTCTGTGAATTAGTTTCATAATAATTGTTAATTATTATTAGATGATCTCTAATCATTATCTGATCAGTTCTGTCAGTTTATTATATTTAGCTCTCTTGAACAGTAGGACTGGTAGAAAATAACTAGCAATTTGCAAAATAAATCACATAACTTTTTTTTATTATTCTCAATAAAATAAATGTAAAGAATAGAATCTGCAGCACACAAGCACCTTGTTTGGGGGGTAAATTTAGTGTCACTTTTTTCACAGCCTCCGAGTTTGCAGGTATGAAAAATAGATGCATGCAAACTAGTAAAATAATTTTTTGTTCTTCTATGCGCACGGCTTGCATTTTTGTACCATGTGGCTTCACGTATTATTGCTACAGCCTCGCTGTCCCGGATGCACGTAACCCATTAGGAAGTAGAAAACGAAGCAATGCAGTATGTAAAAACAATATTTGAGTGTTTAACCGTTGATTAGTTCTTTGCGATAAAGTCTTAATTTTATTTTTAGAAAGTCTTAAGTCTTGAAAAGTCTTAAATTTAATTTTGAGATCTCTGCATATACCCTGGATGTAGTCTTTGTTAACAGTCTGTCTAGAGCCCTGCACTGGAGCCCTAGAACTACGGGTTGGCTTCGGGCAAACGACTGTGTAATTACCTCGGACACGGGCCGGGCCGGGCGCCTTTATTTTTAATCGAATTCATAAAACAAAAACTGAAACACTTGAACGCAGCAGCACCTGCCTGCTTCTCACGCACCGGCACCTGTTAGATCAGTTAAGGTCTGTGTGGTTTATAAATGCGCCTATATAAACGAATTCTCAAACTGCTTATTGAAACATGTGCCCCTATTCTAATATGCCATTTTATGTCCACTTTGATGTCAGAAACCATTCGTTTATTCTCATGAAAACGGCAGCATTCTACTTTTCTGTGAATCAATTCGCTCTGCAGTTTAAAAAAATACAGCATTCATTGCTGTTTTTTGTCCTACCTGGAGAGCGCATTTTCAGAGCGGCAGATTAAATTTACAAACACATCCAATTGATATAGTGTTCGTAAATTTCATCTGCCGCTCGAAAAATACGCTCTGTTAGAAAAAAAAGCTGCATTGAATGCTGTTTTTTTTGTTTGTTTTTTTACTGCAGAACACTTCTCACAGATAATTAGAATGCTGAGCATTCTATCACGCTAAAACATTATGAAAGGTTAAAAAAAAAGAAGTCGGGCTCTGGTCGGGCCAGAGAATCCTGAAAACCTTTTCGGACCGGGTCGGGCTGGGGCTCCATCCCCTCGGGCCGGGCCGGACATGGGCTCAGATTTTAGGCCCGTGCAGGGCTCTCAGTCTGTCCCTTCTCCATACTTCCTGGTTCCAGAGCCAATCATATTTGGGCCAGTAGTCTTCTATGGCAAACACTGCTGTGCCTTCATTTGAAGACAAAAAGAAAGAAAGAAAACAATCATTTATATAGCACCTCTCAAGATAAAAACCACGAGGCGCTTCACAAAAACAAAAAATCCATGTATAAGGTATAAAAAATAAATTTTAAAATTACTATATATATATTTATAATGACAAATAAATAATAATTTTGATTAAGAAATGTGAGGAAAGGGAAAGAAAAAATTAATAGGAAAGAGGAGAGTCTCTGACTTTGGGAACCAGCTTGTCTGGGGCACAGATGAGGATCTCAGTCTTCATTCAGCTGTAGAAAGTTCCCGGCCATCCAGGTTTTGATAGAGTCTAAGCAGGAGTGTAACAGCTGCAGCTTAGACATCTCATGGGGCTTAAAGGAGATGTACAGTTGGACGTCATCTGCATAAAGATGGTAGGAGATTCCTTTAAAGGAGCTCAGGATGTGCTGAAGAGGAAGCAGAGGAGGAAGAGCAGAGGCCCCAGCACAGAACCTTGTGGGACACCATGGGTAAGAGAGGTGGTGGAGGACCTAAACTTGGAGACGGCCACAGAAAAGGAGCGCTCGGACAAATAAGAGGAGAACCACTCCAGAGCAGACCCTGATAAGCCTACCCAGTCTCTCAACCTCTCCAGTAGCAGGTGATGGTCAACAGTGTCAAAGGCTGCAGTCAGGTCCAGCAGGACCAGAACAGAACAGTCCCCTGCATCACTGTGAGTCAGAAGGTCATTAGAGACCCTAAGAAGAGCTGTTTCAGTAGAATGAGCTCTACGAAAACCTGACTGAAAACTATCATAGATGTTATGTTCATCAAGAGCAGCTGTGAGTTGTTTAGCCACAACGTTTTCCAAGATCTTGGAGATGAACGAAAGTTTAGAGATGGGCCTGAAGCTGCTATGGAGAGAGGCGTCAAGACTCGGTTTTTTAAGAAGTGAGTGGATTAAATCTAATCATCTTACTGTATATTAGGGCTGGACGATATAGAAAAAAAGCTTATCAATAGGGCTGTAGCGAAGCCTCAATGACTTCGACGGCTCAATTCTAAAAATTCGTCGACGTCAGATCCGGTAGTCGACGCACCGCGCCCACTTATTGCATCCCCAGGAGTTTGTAAATAGAGGAGGAATCTGCCTGTTTTCCCTCTAGTTCGCCCTCTTCTACGCCTTCACTAACATTTCCGCCAAATACCGAAGACCCGGAACAATGTCCGTCCGCTGCTAGATTCCTTTCCTGTTTTGTCCGCCTTCGTCTCCCGGCAACGGACAACAACTTCCGGGGTCAGATGCGCTGCTCCGTCTCTACTGCAGATGTAGAAAATCACCGGGAGCGTTTTTCCCTTCATTAAGGAGCTTCTTTCAGACATTAGGAGAGCTGTTTTGGTGGTAGCAGTCTCTCCTCCATGCTGGTCTGTTTGCTGCTGGGTATTTTGGTTTATTTAAACTTGGTAACTTGAACTTAACGTTGGTAAAGCTACTGTTAGCATTTTCGCTAACAGCTTCATGCGTTTGGATAAGCTGTTACGTTTAGGTTTAGAGCTTTTTGTGGTGTAGATCTCCCTTTTATTACATTTGGAATGTTGTGGGTTTTCGGTTTAGTTTAAAATATCACCTTGAGTTTGGTTTAACCACCCAGTTTAGAGTTTGGACCTTTGGAGATTCTTATTTTGGTCCAGAACCCTGTAATCTTTGCCCAGTGGGATATCCCTACTTATTTGTACTTTTGTTTTAATTCCCCACAGGCAGAATTAGTTTTATTATTCCCAACCTGTGGATGGAAAGATCTTATGTTTTTTGTAGTTGTAAATAAACCTGATCATCATTTTAACTTATAAATCCCGTTATTGTCCCTTCCTTTTTGCACACGAGCCAATCTCCCCAGGAAGGGTTGTAACACCACTCGCCTCACGCACATAAGTGACCAAAATAAAGCAGCGTGGAGACACTCCACGTCTCCAACCACCTCTCAGGCAGCAGCCTGCACTCCCAATTTCTACACGTCACCAGAACATAACCAACCGCAACACAATAAAAGCAGTGTTATTAAAAATGGAAGGCCTGTAGTGTTTATTCTCTTACAGTAATAATTTATCAATTTTCTGAGGAATTTATTAGAGATTTTTTGGTTTTTATTAACTGTGCAATAGAAAAATAATCATTGCAGCTGACCCTTCGCACCCGGGTCACAGACTTTTTGAGCCGTTCCCCTCAGGCAGGAGGTTACGGTCCATCCGGACCAGAACCTCCCGCCATAAGAACAGCTTCTTTCCATCTGCCGTTAGACTTGTGAATAGATTATAAACACACAACCATGCTCGTCTTCTCTACTCGACACAACGTCACCTTATCGGCCATGTTACCATTACCTGCCATTTTTTATAGCTGAAAGTTTTTTTTTATTATATTCTATTTTTAATCTTATTATTCATGTTATATGTAGCACATTAGTACCGAAGCAAGTTCCTAGTTTGTGAATTGTTTGTTCACTGACAATGGCAATAAACCTATTCTGATTCTGATTAGATTAATTGTCTAAATAGTCATTAGAATAGTCGACTATTCGATAAAATAATCGTCAGAATAATCGTTTTAAAAATAATCGTTTACCCCCAACCCTACTTATCAATAAAAAATAAATCATATTGATTGATATCAATCATTATTAAGAACTAATTTCTTCAACCTCTCCTTGCTGCAACATCTTGTTAAAGTCTTGGTGACGGAGCGTGCTTGGGTCTTTGTTTTTGATTGGTTGGGTAATGACACTAGTATGAAGCTATCCAACAGGCTATAATGGAAAAAGGAAACTTTATATTGAAGTTTTCATTGATCCACTTTTTTTTCTATTGAACCACGTGTCTATTGATCAATATATATCGGTATTAAATTATTGTCCAACCCTACTGTGTATGACTCGTCTTCACTCGTCATCTAGAATCTTCTGGTGCTGATTAGTAGCTGGCAACAGAGCGGACTTTTTTGTTTTGATACAGGAACTGCAGGACCCATATTTGACCACAGGATGTCATTCTTCATGCACCTTAAACAAATTAATGTATGTTTGTGTATGTTTTGTTATTTATGTGCTATAAATTAGGACATCATGGTCATATCTGCTTTTTAAAATTATTTCTAGCTTTGTGCGAGGATACAGCTGGCATCAGGGGAGAATTGCAACCTCCATCTCCATCTTCTGCACTCCATTGTCCCCCAACAGAGCACCTTCAAGATCCTCACCACCAAGGTAATGCTTTGGTGTTGCAGGTGTTGTCTGTGTACTGGTGACTTTGTTTAATAGAAAATGGTACCTCTTACATTGGGATTCTCTTCACGTTTTACATCCTGCCATACATTTAATCAGATTTAAAGTGTTTTTTGACATTTATGTTGGTCAGGTGGCTGATTCCTGAAGCACAAACAAGCTGCACTTTTCCAAAAACATCTCTTGTGTTAAATTGTCTGAGTAAAATTATATATTATAGTTCTGTGAGGTTTTAAAGCACATAAACCACCATAACTGCTTGTTATTGTCCTGTCTGAGGTCACGGTGACCACAGCCGTCAGAACCTTGACACGATAAGATGGCTTAAAAATGAGCAAGAGGCAAAATTGTCACCTAGCTGTTTGAAACTACCTCATTTATGGAATGTTTTTAATAGTTCTCTGAGAGCACATTGGAATTGAGGTCAGGTTTGGAAGTGCAGTACTTAAAGAGACAATGTGTAGTTTCTACCATCAATCTCTGGAAAAATCTATCGATAAATTGTTAAAAATAAATGAAATGATGCTAGGTGTTGAAAAACATTGGCAGCTTCGTAACATATAACCATTAAAATCCTTGGTCTAAAATACATCAGAGCAGATTTCTGGGTGACGCAATATTAGATGCCATGTTTCCTTCTACGGGAGCCTGTGAGGACAAAATGCATTTACAGATTTGTAACAAGCGGTTACAAATTTTTTGCCATTCATAAATATTGTTGTTTTACATATTTACCTCCTCACTCCTTGCCAGTGATAAAAATGAGCCTGATGTGCTTGTCATTTTTCATTTTACTGGAGGTTGCGTTCAAACAGATTTTTGACCCTAATGGCCATCCGTTGGTAAGGTCCTACTTGAACACAAAAATACTGCTTGCTTGCAATGTTTTAGGTATGTACTGCCCCCTTTCACCAGGGAAAATACACATCGTCACTTTAAGGATTTCCAGATTAACAAGAAATCTTTCTGCAAGAATTAAGGAGTTCTGGCAGGAGAGCCTTGCTAAAGGTGATGGACCTCAGATCCCAGGAGACTTTAGCTAGTGCTAAACATCTGAGACACCCTGGAACTGCTTTAAGTGTTTCTCAGTTTAATGGTTACCGTGAAAAAGTGTGCTATTGTGATGTTCCTGTTTCAACACGCACACACACACACACACGCCCCCCCCCCCCCCCCCCCCCCCCCCCACACACACACACACACACACACTAGGGGTTGTATCAACTAGTTGCTGTCACGTGATAATGACCGACAAGATGCAGTCCTTGGAAAAGACAGCAGGTGATGAGCCCCTGCGCGTTGGGAGGCAATGCGCTGTGCCAGAGCGTCGGTATCTGACGCCTGCTGTAAAACGGACATTTAACCAAGTTGTGACCTTTACCCTCTTGCAATTTAACCTTCCCCTCACCCCCATCCTAACCTTAACCAGCCTGCGCATGCAAAGCTCTGATCGTTGATGCGCTCCAGACATCTGCGTCCTGAGCACGGCCACAGTAACAGTATCAAATCAGGTGTCGCCACCTCAAAAACAAATTTAACACGCAGTCGTTCATGTCGGCTCATTTCCTTATATGTTTTCTGTCTTTTATTTGTGCCTGATGCGTTTTGCTGCTGCGAAGCGGAGCTCATCACCTGTTTTGTCCTCCGGTGATTTTATCTCACTGGTGTGGCCGGCGCGCACTCCGCTGTTTTTGTCGGCAACAGCCGTAACAAATGGGTTAGGGTTTGGGTTAAAAACAAGTTAGTTTTTGTACCTGGTGGTTGCAACAAACAGACACACTGAAGGTGATCAGAAGTGAGGAACAGAAAATTAAATAATTATTTTAATGTTTAGAGCAGCAGCGACTCTGAGAGGCTGCAGGCGCATCAGTGAGTTTGCGGCCGCTGCGCAGGGGGAGGGGGGAGAGGGCTGATGCAGGGAAACAGTAAAGATGCAGAAACTACCGTTGTTAGAACAGATGTGTTTAACCAAGTCATGCAGCCCCTAACACACACATATTAAGGCCAGGAATCGATTCAAATAAATTAACTAATTAATCTCAAATTATGAAAAAAATTATTCGCAATTTTTTCTAATTTTTTTCCAGAAAAAACACAAGCAATAATCATGCAAAAATATAAGAGAGGTTCATTTTATATTTAGAAAGTGCTTAACTTGTTAAAGTGTGTAAAATTACTCAAAACTGTCTTTAACAGAGAAAAACCTAAAATCAAATCCGGTATGTTGTAAATGTAAATGTTATTTTCCACAGCATCAGTTGAACTAGGCTTGACAACTCCCCAAAAAATAAATAAGGGACACCTCGCTGGCATGGCCCCCAAATGCTTTGATACGGCCTTGGGTGGGACGGAGTTTTGAAGGTGATCTGAATTGTATGGAATATATTATGAGCTAAAAAATAATACTTGCTTTATAACATTAAAACATGTGGTGGGATAATCTACCTACATTTTCCTTTCCAAGCTCTTTGTTTTGTTTTCTTATTATCTGACTCTTATCCTGTCCTGTTTGTCTCTGGTCCTGCATCTGCCACAGGGAGACGTGGGATAGTTCTCCAGAAAAAATGCTGCCTGGCCGTGGAGCACGGCTAATGAGCGCAGCAGCAATGTGCGTCAACCACGAATAAGACAGAAAGTATCAAAGCAGTTATGAACGATCGTGTGTTAAATCTATTTTGGTGGCGCCGCTTTGAGAATGTTTCTGTGGCCGTGCGCAAGACGCAGGTGCCAGTGGAGCGCATGAGTGCTCTGCCTCTGTTTATCTTCTTCGCTCAAAAGAATCCTCGATGCTGAGAGTCCACAATATGGGTAGAAACTTAATCCTTTTTCGGGCTCAGTAAATGATGGTTTAGCAATATTGTCCAGGGGGAAATGTTGTGGAATGGTTGGTCCGGGTTGGAGAGGTTGTCAAATTAATCCCGTCATTTACTTTTAACACGTTAAAATAACTTATATATATATATATATATATATATATATATATATATATATATATGTATATGTATATATATATATATATGTATATGTATATGTATATGTATATGTATATATATATATATATATATATATATATGTATGTATATATATATATGTATGTATATATATATATATATATGTGTATATATATATATATATGTATATATATATGTATATGTATATATATATATATATATATATATATATATATATATATATATATATATATGTATGTATATATATGTGTATGTATCTATACAGGTCTTCAAAAAATTAGCATATTGTGATAAAGTTCATTACTTTCTGTAACGCACTGATAAACATTAGACTTTCATATATATTAGATTCATTACACACAACTGAACTGAAGTAGTTCAAGCCTTTTATTGTTTCTAATATTGATGATTTTGGCATACAGCTCATGGAAACCCAAAATTCCTATCTCAAAAAATTAGCATATTTCATCCGACCAATAAAAGAAAAGTGTTTTTAATACAAAAAAAAGTCAACCTTCAAATAATTATGTTCAGTTATGCACTCAATACTTGGTCAGGAATACTTTTGCAGAAATGACTGCTTCAATGCGGCGTGGCATGGAGGCAATCAGCCTGTGGCACTGCTGAGGTGTGTGTGTGTGTATATATATATATATATATATATATATATACACACTGCTCACAATAATTAAAGGAACACTTTTTATTGGGCCTGGCATGAAATCTGTTAAACCTTTCAGATAATTTCCTGGTTGATTAAGCAGCTGAGGGCATTGTTAATCACTTTCAGCTGTATTGGTGTTCATGGACTTAACGACAGGTGCACTAAAGTGGCAACAATTACAAAACCCTCAAAACAGCACTGGTTTAACATGTAGAGGTCATTTCAAGTTTCTCCCTCTTGATCTTTTTTGGCTGGTTTTCCACTCGTGCTAGTTTTGGCTCTCTGCTGGCAGTATGAGGCGATTCCTTAAGCCTACAGAAGTTGCACAGGTTGTCCAACTTCTCCAGGATGGCACATCCACACGTGCTGCAGCAAGAAGGTTTAATGTGTTACCCAGCACAATCTCCAGAACATGGAGGAGATTTCAGAAGACTGGTGGTTATTCTCGGAGAGCTGGACTGGGCCGTAGAAGGTCCAAAACCCATCAGCAGGACCGATACCTGCTCCTTTGTGCAAGGCGGAACAGGCTGAGCACCGCTCGTGCCCTACAGAATGACCTCCAGAGGGCCACTGGTGTGAATGTCTCTACCCAGACAATCAGGAACAGACTTCATGAAGATGGCCTGAGGGCCCGACGTCCTGTAGTGGGCCCTGTGCTCACCGCCCAGCACCGTAGAGCTCGACTGGCATTTGCTCAAGAACACCAGAATCTGGATTGCTGGTTAACAGCCATACATATTTTTGGTCATTTATTATTAAGCAGGTGAAAAAGTTCTGGTCATTGTCTTTTCAATGGAGAGTGAGTGACTAAATATGTGAGTAAAATGATGCAAAGGGCTACTAATAATTATAAAATACACCATGAATTATTTCATGAATTTTTGTTCCACAAAACAGAAACAAGCGTGAAACAAACCTGTTGGGTTTTCATGAAGCTTTTTAGAGTAAAGTAATTTTACTCTAAATTATTCTGACCCTTTTAATATGTCTCAGCTGTGCTGGTAGTTATGAATAATAGAGCAGACTACAAAACATGTTTTATCACTCTGGAGGAGATGGTCATGTCACAGACTGGGTGGACTGGTGTCGCCTAGCTCTGAGCTAAAGTTTCTTCAGACAGTGTTAACAAGTGTCTTGTCTCTTTGTGTTTCTTTGTAGTATTTTGTGGAAGAAAAGGATTTATTAGTTTTGTGTGTTTTCATTTTTTTTTCTTCTAAAAGTAAACGGATTATGAAGCAGGAAAAGAGCATGCTGATTTGAGTTTAAGCAGATTACTCAAACTGTGGCTGATCATTACTTGAGGTAAAACTCTGAGATCAACATCTTAATCCCTTCAATAATTTAAG